CATTTCTCTTTGCATTCAGATCCCACACCTCGAGCCTTCTTATATGAGTTTTCAGATCCCAACGTACGAATTTCGATTTTTCTTCATATCTGATGAAATACGATAAGTATAAAGCTAACTTAATATGTACACTTATATATATATATAGGAATGTGGAAAAACAAAAATTAAAAATAATAAGAGTATTTATATACAATAAAATAATGTATTAGTTATTAAATAATTGATAGAAATATTTGTACAGTATTTAGATAAAAATCAAAAGATTAATTAATAAGAAAGTATTAATATTAAAACTTAAAAATAGTGAAATAGAATTAATTGCATAATTATATCTATACATTTATATAATTCAGTGTACTATTAAAATATCATAAAAAACCTTTATCTATATTATGATTTCCAAGATTAGAATAGTGCTTCAATAGCCACTTTCGAGATATTTCTAAGTGTTTATATCTGAATCACTTGAATATTGAAGAATAAATGAAATTATTTTTATACTTTCTTGAAACATTATTTGAAGAGCTTGTTATCGTATATTTCTAAATAAAATATGACGTTATATAAATGTCTTGAATTTTGTGTTAAAATGGGATCTACTATACATTTAGTTGAGCTTGAATCCATCTTAAATGAGATGAAGCAGTGAATTCAATTTAAACTTTGGAATTTATTTCATTGTGAATTTTATGGTAATAATTTCTATTAAATGTCCCTCTCACTTGTGTTGCATTTGTAAAATGCAATGTTAGTATTAAAGTTAATTGAACTGTTTATAAACATCATCCAATATAAAAATTAAAAGTTTTAGAAAATAAAAAATTTAAAAAATATTCTTCTTCAAATTTTTTTCCATATTCTATAAATAAAATATGAATTCTTTATAAAATTTAAAAATAATTTTTTATTGATTTTTAATTGAAGAAAATTTTACTTTCAAGAGATTATTTACACACCAAGTAACAACAGTTTTTATGTTATCATCACGTAAAGATCATTATCAGATGAATTTGCATACATTATATAAGATACATATACATACATACATACACATAAAATATTTTATTTTTGCAACACATACTCGCTCACATGAATCAGAAGAATGTAAGTAGTTAGTTGATATTTCTTTTGCAAAAAAATTGTCCAAATATTATAAAAAAAAAAAAATGAAAATATTTACAGTCTTATTAAAGTCTTATTGTTTTAAGTATTTAAATACTAAAATCAAGTATTTAAAGCTTTAATTGCGCAGTAATTTGCGATTATTATAATAAAACCCCTTATTTTAATTTCAAATTAAAAAAAAACACCCACATTAATTCAAATCACAGTCATAGCTTATAATAGTGCACAAACACAATAAAATATAACAAATTATATAATAAATCAAATGTATACCAGTTACACTGTTTTATGTTCGAGCAAAATCACCTTTTTTTCTAATAAAAATTTAATTAATTCTTTGAGTAAAGAAACTACAAATGTTGCACACTTTCACAATCTTTATATCGTAAGTTTATAGCCAATGATCAGTTTTTTTTTTTTTTTGGTTTTAAATTAAAAAAAATCTTCTTCATCGCCTAATTTTTTTTACTACTAGTACTACTGGAATTTACCCGCTTAACCTATAAATTTGTAATGTACATATGCATGTGTGCATGTAAATATTTTACATACTATTATGTATTTACATTTACATTATGCGCTCATTTAATAACATCATAAAGTAGAAGAACATATTATTTTTTTTTAAATTAACATACATGTTGACAAAAAATGTTATCCTTTTCAATAAAAAAAAATAAACCAATTCACCAATTCACAATAGCATAATTATAAAATTGGGATGATAGAAAATGTCAAAATAATAAAATTAACTCATTATACAAAGTAATTATTGCAACAAGAAAAAAAGGAAAAAAAAAACCAAATTTAAGAACGTTAAAAAACAAAAGCTATCCAAAAAAAATTTAAAATATGACAAAAACCACCGTGAAATCAAATTTAAAGTTATTAAAGAGTATAATAAATTTAAATTTGCAAAATTGCACTTAAAATTACACATGCTTTGATTTTTCTGCTTATTAATGAGAACTTGAGTATACAAACAAACAAAAATTCTCAAAGTTTTTATGCTGCACATTATGCTCAAAGTTCCTTTTATTATTTTGATGTTGCGTATAGAGAGAGGAAAAAAGTGTTAACCTTAACAAGATCACACAATTAAAAGTTTTTCTTGCAAAATTAATAAAATATATTCAAATATACAAGTACGCATATAAGTAAATTTTATTTATTTAAAAAAAAATACATAGACAACCTTTAAAATATTTTCCTTGCTTTTTATGAATTTTCATAATTTTAACCAAGGACGGACACTTTTTTTTATTTAATTTTATTATGCGAACAAAAATCAAGAGTATTTTATAAATTTAATCGTATATACATTATATGTGTTTGTTTGTGTATATATACAATCGATCCGACCTATATTTTGCATTTTTTTATTATTGCACGTGGGTGTGAGAGAGATTTTATAATTATATTGTGGATAATATTAAAAAAAAAACTGAACTTGTTTATTTTTTTCGCTGCTTATTTTTTAATAATTAATACAGAACATATTTTTTCCAATTGATTTATAAGAGCATTTTCTGCTTATTACAATACCAAATATCAAAATATTTCCTTTATGAAAAAAAAAAACAATTTATTTTATTCATAATTTACCTATATAGAAAATTTCAAATCAAAATATTTTAATTATAAAAATTAATTATTATTACAGGTAATATTAACACCATTTGCTATATCGCAAAAATTTTAAGTTTTATATCTTCTTTTTAATTATAATTATAAAACATTAAAAATTATTTTAAAAAAAATTTATTAACTGACACGATTTTTTTTTCTCGAATTTTTGTACTTCTAATATTGGCTAAAATCCAAAAAGAACTGACTGATTTTCTGAGCATCTGAAAATTTTCTTTTTGTTTTTTAAACTCATATGCTTTAACATTTTGTTTTGTATATAAAATAAAAAAAAGTATAGTTCTTAAAAAGATTACGTTGCGTAGAATTCTTAAGAGAATTTAATTTTTTAATTGAAAAGCTTTTGGAATTGAGTAATTTTTTTTACATAAATTTTTAACTCTGTGTAGATTATCGGCGAATTAAGGTATGTATATATGTGCATTATATATACATAGAAGAGTGTGTTGAATTATTTTATTTGATTAAATAGAGAGTAGTAGGTACGAGTTGGTTTAATTTATTATACATAAATGCTGATGAATTTAAAATAAAGGTTGCATTTAAGGAATCAAATTACATGTTCATAATATTATTCCATATAGTCCATATTCTAAACATACATTTGCAAAAATACTTTTGCAAAAATTTAATATTAATCAAAGCTTCTAATTAAAGCTCAAAGATTATGAAAAATTTTAATGTAATTTAACCCAACAATGTAACATAATCTAGATATGTCAAGTCGTTTCTCAATTGAATTATAATTATAGTCCCTTTTATTAAATTAAATATTAACAAATTAGTTTTAATTTTAATTAAAAATAAAAATACGTATATTTCTTAAGAAAGGCCAAATTCAAAGATAATTTTATATAAGTATTAAAATTTATACTTTTTTACATTAAATGATTCCCAATCTGGGGCAAACTTCCAACAAAAATATCATTCAGCCGTTTAATTTTAATGAGCTGAATGGTATTTTTGTGGAAAGTGAACGTCAATCAATAGAATGAGTTTTTTATTATTAATATTTTCACCACCATCAATTAATCGTTTTATCTTGTATGAAATTATTGCATGACGTTAGGCGAACATTGCATTGTAAATACGAGCCAAGAAAACTAAAATATTATAGCTGCGTTTTTTTCTTCTTACTAATATCGTATGTTTAAACAAATGCATATTTCTGTATGTATAATAAAACTTGCAGTGATATATAGAAGACAACTTGTGTAATTAGACAATAGAACTACTTTTTTTATTGGCGCTAGTGAGTATTAAGTTTATCGGTTTTATTGGGTAATAACAAAATTTGTTAATTTAATGTAAGTATTAAACCTTAAAAATAAATACGATACTGAATGTTGAAATGAATAATGAATGCTGCTTTCACACTTTCAACATAAATATACGAAATAAATAATAAAAGAATAAAATATGATTTTATGTTTTCATAATTTTTTTCCTGGACTTATTTTGAATTTCTGTTTGTGCTATTTACATTAAAATTGAAAAGCATAACAGTTTTCCAGAATTTAATTGAAATAAAGTCATTTTTAATGATTTCATTTCACATCGACGCTAGGAATTGAAGAGTTTTATGAAAAAAGACTATTCTTTTACAAAATTACGATTCAAATGGTTTCAAAAAAAGTATAACGCTAGCATCAAATTGAATTTTGAACTAACTGATAACCTCAGTTTATTGTATGTCGTTTTAAGATGCAGTCATTTACTCGTATTTTCTTTGATAAACTTTCGTTGATAAACTATTTTTTACTCATTTTTCCATTCATTAACATTTTTTGACAATAATGGCAGGGTCTCTAGGTCGTGAGCGTGCTTTTTTTCACCAAGATTTATAATTTAACTTTTTGACAAGTCGTATAAATTTTAACATATACTTTGACAATGTCAATAGATAAAACAATTACTTTTAAATCAACGTCTTTTAAAACTTGCCTCAAGTCTTACTATTTATTAAAATTTAACTGAGTTATTTTTTGTTTTTGTCTCGTGAAAGTACCCGTTTTTGAAATAAAAATTTGGAAAATAAAAATATATATATAAATTTAGAAAACAAAAATATATTTCAATTAGTTTGTTGGGTTAAAACCACCTTTTTTCCACAATTCTATTGTGAATATAAATACCCAGCTGTTGTTTTTACAATTCTTTTTTATTTATATTCGCTTTTTATGTGTCAAATCAGGGGTTATTGGTAATTGATTAACGAAACTTTTATAGATCTTCTTGGATGAAGTGGCTTTGGCTAGTGAAGTGAATCGTGAATCAGTCTTTTAAAGCTATTTCAGTCATTGGTTACTCATTAAAGATTGTAATTTTTGAATAACTACAATAAATTGTTGTTAAGTACTTACTGAAAACTATTAAAAGCAAACATAGGAGTTTTGAGAAACAATGAAATCTAGAAATAACCATCTAGATACATTTGGAAAATAAAAAAAGAAATTTGCAGTAGAGGAAAATAATAATGTCGGAAGAGACGATTGTTCGTGCGAGGCAAAATTGTTGTCGATTATGCTTAGCACCAGACGATGAATGTGTTTCCATTTATGGAAATTTACATATATCTGATAAGGAATCAATTTCAAATAAAATTCATGCTTGCGTTAATATAAAGGTTAGTATATATAATTAACAATTAAACTTGTGTTGAATAATTGACGTGTTAAAACAACGGATTCAATCATGTCATCATTATAGTTACATATATGCATAAGATATACTTATGATTTTGAATATAAGTACAAACAAAAAATAGTCTGCATTAAATATTATAATCTATATATAATATAAGTCTGTGTAAAAAAATTTCAAGGTGATCATGACTTTCTACTTCGGAGCTAAAAAGTATGCCAACCCATATATTTAATTAGATTGAATCTGGTTGGCCATATTGGATTTGGAATATTAATTTCAAATATGAGTAATAAAGAAAATCTATAACATTGTATCGCTTTAGTTACCCTGGATACTTTTTAAATTCCCGTTTTTGATGTATTCTAAGAAAAAAAAAAGAAATTTGTGAACTTTTTGAATCATTTTGTAGTTTTAACCAAAAATATGAAAAACTATAATTTTTATTTTAGATTAGATAATGGAAGCAGCCATGACGGTGAAATTATTTTACTTAGCTTAGCTTTTGACATTTCCATACTGTGTGCCATTTTATCTGTGCCAGCTGTACCTGCATGGTATGGTTTCAGTTTCCTGTCTCACTGTTGGTTTGGCGTTTTTATATTTTTTTGGCGCTGTTAATAATCAAACAAATACGTAGTAGCCATATTTATAATTGTTTGGATATTGTGTTGAATGACGACGCAAAGAATTTTCTATAGATTATCGAGAGTGATATTGTCTTTAAAATTGGTTGAAATAGCTTTTCTCATTTTGAAAGATTGAGGTTAGGTTACATTGAAATTGAGAATAATTGTGGTGGAAGTGGACTGATATGTATGAGCAATTGTCTACAGATTATTATGTGTGAGCAAAGAAAAAGTAATTTTTTGAAGTAATACCTATGATAGTGTTTGTCAGCCAAAGGTTAAATAATAACGAAAGAAAAAAATTGTAGATTTCAAGAATTTTATTTTATTATGATTAAACTGTATTTTTATTATATCATTTTTTGCGAAAATAAGAAAAGTGTCGAATTTCTTTTCAAATCTTATCTCGACCAACCTAGGAACCTGTTTATATATTAGAATGGTTCAATTTTTTTTTTGATAAAATAATTTTCATCAAATACGCAAAAATTGATATTGATAAAATTTTTAGATAGCGGGTATGTACTAAGCACACTGCTTTGGAAAATAAAATTTTAAATTATAAAACGCAAAATAAGGTATTAGGAATGCATTATTTAACTAGGTATCTATACAAAAATTTTGTATTTTGGTAATTTTTCTCTTATTAAACTACATAGCCTTAAATGAGTTTTTAATAACTCTCAGAAAATACGTAGGTAGATTGTTTTGAACCATATGCATTTTCAAAATCATACATCATGTACACACCATGTAGTTTCAAAATCGCCAACGTTTCAGTTTTTATCCTATCACGTGATTGAAATCTATATATCGTTTGATACTAAAAAGCTTTGAATATTCACTGCAGTTACAATTTTGTTTAAAATACCTATAAGTCTTTGTTTTTGTACATATACATATGGATATGCGAATAATCACAAATAATTACAAAACTTTTTGTTTTCCAGGTTACAAAAGATGATTCGCTTTCAACTAGAATATGTCATATATGTATTAGTTACTTAAATTGTTGGCAGAGTTTCAAAAATCGTTGTATAAATGCACAGAAAAAACAGGAAGAATGGCTGGTAGGAGCAAACGTTACACTACAGAAAGAAATTCGAGATTTACGCGTAACACATTACAACGACTCTTTTAATAATGGGATGAATTTATCAAATGAGAGACAAAAAAGTATACCAGTTCAAATTAAAGAAGAACCTTTAGATGAATGTGAAGAACAGAAATTAGATGAAGATGAATCTGTTAGATGTGATATAGATCCAACACAATTCCTTGCCACAGATGTAATTGAAGAGGAAGAATTAAAACGCTTAGCAGCAAATAAAAACTTAACTATTACAAAAAGCGGAGGAGAAAACGGTCCTCAAATATTAACTTCACTAGGATTGCAATCAATTGGTAATGATAATGTCAACCCATTTGCCTTTTTGGTAAGTTCTACAGTTACTATTTTTTATTTTTATTGTTTTAAACATTGTAACTAAAATTAATTTGGCTATAATATGTATGATAGAGTGCATCTCTAGGAGCTTCATCAGAAAATTTAAATGAATTCGGATCTGAATCTAAAGAAAAGGCACCTACATCACCCGGTGCGCCATCTCAAAAACCACATGATTGTCGTATATGTAAAATGAAATTTTCTACCAGAGCCAATGCAAGACGCCATGAGCGTAATTTACATGGTTTAATTAATGACACGTCTATTCCACCTTTGTCCATATCGACGACTTCAAATACAGTACAAAGCTCTACACCAAAAAATATTAGACGTAAATCAAATCCTATTCCTTTAACTCCCGAAATGATGGGAATATATGAATATGATAAGCCCGAAAAATATAGACACATGTTAACACCTCAAAAATTGGCCTTCATTGAAGAGTTTGAGGAATTCTTGAAGCAATATCAAACCTTAACTTGCAAATGTTGTTCAAAACTTTATCCAAAATATAAAAATTTTATGGCACATATGAGAAAGAAATATCCAAAATTACCTCGAGCTAGTTGCTTCAAATGCTTGAAACAATTTGAATCCAAAGCAATTTTTGTTTCACATGTCAAAAGGCGAAATTGTATTAACTTATACAAATTGTATACGAATGACCCTACAATTGAAAAATACGATAAATCAGATAAAATGAAAGCAAAAGAGTTATTAGTAAATAAATTTTACGAATGTAAGTTATGTCCAAAAGAATTTCGTTTAAAATTGGAATTTAGAAATCATGTTCATGAAGATCATGGAGAAATAATTCAGAAAAAAGAATCTTCCCCGGACACATGTGTCTTTTGCAGTTTAAAAATTGATGATGCAATCGAGCGCAAACGGCATTATAATAATATGGAGTGCATATTAAATATTCGATGTAGTACATGTAACACTAAATTTGAAAACCATCAAACATTTTTGGACCATGTTTACAAAGAACATGTACCTTTACAAGCAAATAACAGCAAAGATAGTAGACCTAGTAGCTTATTATCTGATTTAAAATATTTAGATGATTGTGAAGAAAAAGTTGAATCATCTCCACAAAAATCCAACGAATCCACAACATCAAAAGAAGTTGAAAGTGTTCCTCCAGTTAAAACACAATTTCATTCACGTATGCCACAAAATTGCAAAATTTGTGGTGCAAGATATAATAACTATAATAATGTATTAAGGCATATGGAAGCAAAACATCCTGACCAGCTTCCGCAAACATATAAATGTTCTTTATGTTTTGTTGGTTTTCCCAGGTTATCTAATTTGAGGGAGCATATGTGGGATGTTCATAATAAAAAGTTGGCAAAACCTAAACGGGATGCTGAAATTTACTGTAGAATTTGCTTAGAGAAGTTCAGTGACAAGGATAGTTGGGTAAATCATCAAACTGAACAGCATGACAGGTATTTCAGTTATGCGTAAATAGTATTATATACAAATTTATGATTTTTTTGTTTAATTTTAGATATATATGTTGTATATGCTTTTCTCAATATGATGACGTTTTAGTTTTTAAAGAACATATAAAAATTCATACTAGTCTTTCATATACTAGACAACAAGGAACTACGCAAAACTCCTTCAATAATCCAAAAGATTCAGCTAAATATACTGGTCGTTTTGATTACGTAATGAAAGATCTAATGTCAATTACTAATGGAAGTGGAGATAATAAAGACAAAAATGATTTGAGTGTGGAAGAACCTCCAAATAAAAAACTTAAGTTAAATGATGAATTTAATCAATCTAATGAACTAAGTGTATCCAATAAAATGGAAGGGGATGATAAGTTGAAACAAAAAGTTAAACAGTCAAGTTTTACAAATTCTAATGTAAATAATGATAAGAAAGCATTGACAATCAAACAGTCGTCACTTCATGAATGCAAAATTTGTCATTCTGTTTTCAATAGCAGTCAGGGTCTATCAAATCATATGAGAGCCCACAATGCTCAAGAAATGGCAAGGCGAGCAAGTTTAGGCCTACCCCCCACCAAAGTCGAGACAAAGTCGAATGGAGCGGAAAATGCTCAAAAGTTTATAAAAAACAATCAAGTTTTAGCTTTGGAACATCGGTTTAGACGAATGCGTTGTCGTTTATGCCAAAAAAGATTTTCAAGTAAAAAGGTTTATAGACGCCATATGTTGGTTGATCATCACGTTCAGAACGTCCAATTTATTCACTGCGCTATTTGCCGTGCTGAATTTGCTCACGAAAAAGGTTTAAAAGTCCACATGATTAAAATACATGGAAAAATCTTAAAAGATATTGGGGCAGAAAATTTGCAATATGAGTGTGATATATGTTCAATCGTCTATAAAAGTGAAGAAGAGTTGATGTCTCATAAACAGTCGGTTCATAATTTGGCTATTAATTTAAGTGGAAGTGAGTTCAGTAAATTTCCTTTATTCTATTCATTTTTTGAAAATTTTACTTTTTGTTGATAATATTATTTTTATTCTTTTTCAAAAATGTTGTTTTTTAGCGGAAGAAGCTAAATTAGTCGACAACAATGCTAATAAACACAGCGGCAACGTTTCTCAAAACAATGAGAACATTCAGTTTTGGTTTCAATGTAGATACTGCGCTAGTAATTTTGATAGCAATAAGAAGCTTGCCATACATATTAATATTCACGATGAAGTTGATTCAAGTGATTACTCATGCAAAGATTGTGGTAATGTTTATAGTGGTCGCAAAAGTTTATGGGTGCATCGATATAAAAAGCATCCAGTACTACCTTCTCCTTCTTTCTGTGATACCTGCAACAAAATGTTTTTTACAAAAGAACATTTTGAATTCCACATGCAACATTTGCATAAAATTCCTTTCAATAAAATTGCTGCTGAACAAAATAATTTAGTAGATTCTATTAATTCAAAAGAAATAGGAATGAATTCTGAAATTCATGTTGAAAAGAAAGAAAATCATAAGGAAATAATACATGTGAGTGGTGAAGATGTACAAACTGTTCAAGTACCTGTTACGCAAATACCTCAAGTACCTTGTACTGTATGCCAAATCAAATTTTCTGACGAGGAAGCTTTTAGCAAACACATGAAAATTGTAATAATTAAAATTATTTAATACTTATTCTATCTTACTATTTAATTTTTTAATTTAGCATGAAGAGTCATTTTATACAGACAATCCTTTGGCCGCGATGTTTGACACAGAACCTGAAGACCCTGACCAGGTTCTACAAAAAAGAATAAATGAAAATGGAGAGTTTGTTTGTGATATTTGTCCTAAAACATTCCAACAACTAACAGCTTTAAAAGTTCATCGTAATTGGCATTTTAGAAGTGATGGAAAACAGGTATTTTTTAAATTTAGCGTTTTAATTCGGTTTTTTGAAGTATTACTTACTTATTATCAGACTCAAGCCGATCCAAATGTGTGGCAATCTTTTGCAAAGAAGCGTAAAAGTTCTCCTTCGTTTGTGAAATGTAAATATTGTTCTTCAACATTCTCATCATCTAGCGACATGAAAAGTCATGTTTTAGAATCGCATAACGAAATGCTTAATAAATCTCAAACTCTTCAAAAAGAAAAGCCTTTGGAGTGTAAAAAATGTAATCTAAAATTTAAAACTCAAGACGAGTGGTTAGATCATAAAATCTCTGATGTCAAAAACGACTTTTCATCAAATAAACAAGAGTGGAGTTGTGATATTTGTGAAAAAATATTTAATAGGAAAGACGATTTGCTTCAACACATACATTCTCACAGAAGAGATAACGAATCAAAAATAGAAACTTTAAGCAAAACGTTAATTAAAACAGAGAATTGCGATGAGAAATCTGATACCGAAATGGACACCCACGACTTAAATGACAACATGACTCTTAACGAAAACAATATGGAATCAATTTTAGGTAACAACGTCGAGAATTTAGAAAGCAAAAGGGTTAAGGAAGAAGACTTTAGTAAAGAGCAAACGTCCGATTCCAGCTCATCCTCTGATTCTGATTCTGAAACAGATGACGATGAGCCGGACGAAGATGAGGAGGATAATGATTATAAGTACGATACGGATGATGAGGTTTCTGATGACGACGTGAATGATGTATCTGGCCCCCATTCCTGTGATTTATGTCAAGAAACTTTCGACAATGCAGAACAATTGACATCGCACGTGACAACGCATTTCTATGAATTTGAAAAATTGAAAACTAAATTAGAACATGATGACAAAGTTAAAGAAAAAAGTAATTCACCAATTCAAAAAGAAGTGAAAACTTCTAATGTGGAAAACGAAGTGGAAGTCAAATTAGAAAAAGGATCCCCGGAGGTTCAAAAAGATAAAAATAATATACAATACCAAAGTAGAAATGAATATCATTTAGAGAACAATAACGAGAAACCAAAACAAATGCAAAAATTGATAATTAATCGAAAGAATTTAACAATAAAGAAAGAATTCGCGGAAGATCCCGATGAAGATGATTCACGCCAAACGAGAGAAAGTACAGATGAAAATTTTAGCGATGTTGAAGAAGAAGATGATGAAGATGATGATTATGATCATAAATATGTTACATCTGCTCAACCAATAACTGAAAGTTTGGATGAAAGCATTGTTTATAGCAATGACAGTAACCAAGATTTGTCCAGTAATAGTGAAGATGTAGCCGAAGATGATAATGATGAAGAATATATGGTTAAAGAGAATATTAATGAACAAGTTATCGGTGAAGAAATTGTGCATGATGATGACGCTGAATATCACGAAAATAATATTACACATTTAGATTCAAATGCAGATTCTAACTCGGCGTTGGATCACGAGAAGAATGAAATAATAGATGAAAGTAATTTAAACCTTGAAAATTATGAACATTTCATGGACGATGAAGAAGACGGTAATGAAAATCAGTTTGAGGATGAAAATTAAATATAATAAATTTTTAATTTTTAATTGTTGTGGAAATGACAATTGTAGATACCGTTTAAAATTATGTTTTGATTTACTTAGATGTATAGTTTTTTTGAAGTTTTGAATTTAGTGCTTAAAACTAATTGAGGACCTCTTTTCATTTTAATCTTAGTCACGATAAGATCTTAAACATGCAGTCTTTTTCACTTCGATTCTAAAATTTTACAGATTCAATTTAATTCATATGCTATATTTAAAATTATGTCCGATATGCTATAGGTAGAATTAATTTTAATACTTAAATTATAAAAAAAAATATATAGGAAAAACAACAAATAAAAATATAAAGTACTTAAATGTTGTTACTAAAAAAACAGAAAATACAAATAAAAGCATATTTTTTACAATGATTAAAAATAAATGTTTTGAAAGAACATTGAAATGTTGGGCGCTACTGGTTAAATTGGAAATATAAACACATATATACATAATATTAATTTATTTATTACAATAAAATTTATTTGAATGACATTATTAAAGTAAATTTGGCTCAGTTTCACAAGAACTCTAATATGTAAAAATTTAGGATAAAAACAGTATTTTACCATGGGTCCATAATATGTTTAATTTATTTATTTTTGAGTTAGGAAAATGTTAACAAAAAAGATTTAACTGATTTCCAAATGAATTGGAATTTTACAGCTTGGATTTAATAAAAGAATGCTTAATATTCTTTTACCAATTTGATTAGAAAATTCATCAATAATCAAATTAATAGAATATTGATTCAATGAACTTTTTTGTAATTTTTTTTCCATTTTCATTTTCTTATTTGAAATTACTGCTATTACTATTATTTTCTATAATTTTCTGTTAGTATTTCTATCATTGTTTAATAATTACTTAAATTTTCAATTTTATCAATTAATAATTATTTACAATAAAAATTGTGTCTTAATTATTATATATAGAAATATATTTACATACAACATTTTAAGTATCGCACTGTTATATCACTTGAATAACCTTTACCTATAATTTTGTAAGAATAACAACAATATGTAATATATTTGTTTTCCAGTTTAGAGTTTTAATTCATAACCAATATTGCTATAAATATTATTTTCTGTAAGAAAGAAAAAAACTTTGATTTCTTAAAATTTACTATGAAAAAAATATATTTAATACAAATAATAAAAATAATATTTGTAACACAATGTTATTTTTTTCACTACATTTTATAAAATATTTTGATATACACACACTTATAAATTCAATTGGAATCCTATAATATAAATTTTATGTAAATAGATGGGGTTAATCTCTTTTAAATAAAATTATGCCTTAAACACATATAAAATTAAATTTTAATTTATGTTATTAGTAGAAGCTAAATCCAAAAAAAAAATAATTTAAAGAATTACTAATTTGTTATGTTATGTTCAGTTAAAATAATATAATTAAAACGATTCAAATATTTTATTTTAATTTTAAAAATTGGAGAATTTCGTTACGATAATTCCAACATAAATGAAATTTTCCTAAAAAACAAAAAAACTAATAAAAAAAGTATGATTTAAATTTGAGAAATTTTTCTAGATTGTTAAAATATTTCTAACAAGTTAAAAAAATGATAAAATTTAATAAGTGAAAAATTTATGAGTGTATGATGAGATTTGTGAGTTGAATATGAATGAAATTAGAGTAAAGGACAATGTGAAAATAATCAAACTAATTGAACAGAAATTTTTTTTTAAACTGGTGTAATTAAAAATATTCGGAGCAATCAGTTACGATTTATACATGCACGTACACACATTACACATATGTACATTTAAATTAAGTGATTCTTAAATTTTGAAGTTAACCTGATTTTAATATGATTGATATCCCTAGATAGAATAAAAAGTAGTTTTATGTTATTTAGTAATACTTTAAAAAAATAAATCTTATATTAGTGAAAAATAAATTTAATTTAAAATATTTGTGGTTATTTATTTTATGTGTTTTTTCATAATTTACTACATTTTACATTCAATAATAAATACAAGCTATGGACTAATTAATGCCAAATCGACAACAACTTTAAAATTTTGCAATAGTTTTGTAATTACGAAATTCCTAATAATTCCTAATACTTATACTGTTATATTTCATAGAGCAGTTTCCCCATAATCACATAAACAAATTTATGTTCATATAGAAGTTAATTAATGATGAAGATCCAGTATAAAAAAATATAGAATCAGAAACGATGACGAAAAGATAAACGAACAAAAACTTATATACATAATTATTATGCTTTATTTTATTTTTATGTTGCCATCTTGGCAATGTAAAAATGTTGGCTTTTCTCATAATTTCATTTATTATTGCAAATTTTTTATTTATTATTCCCCAAATTTAAATTCCATTGAAATCAAAAGGCAGATTTTGATTAAAATTTCGAAATGGTCCTTCTTACTATAATTTTTATTTCACAGTTTACAAAACATGACGTGTATGAGTACTACGCCCACAACAATTTTAATTAGTTCCCGTTTTAATAAAAAAATTTTTTATTGAAATTTATTGAAAAATATTTTATATTAACACCAATTTACAGTATTTACTCATTTATTTTTTTTTTATTAAATTTATACAGAAAATAAAATTAATAATTTTCTTATTGTGCCGAAAAAAGGTGTGAATTACAATGATGTGCATCTTTCTTACATTCACTCGTTTAATGTATAAGCACATACATAAGTGTGTACTTTCATTATATTTTTTGAATCCTCTTGAAATTTTAACAATATTGTTATTTTTTTTTTTTTTGGTAAACTTTTTGTTGTGCAATGTGCATACATATGTTTGTACATATTTTTGGAAATTCACAAAAAAATTTTAAAAGTTGGAAGAAATTCATACAGAAATGGTGTATTGACGTATGGCAACTTTTATGATAATAAAGAATTAATAGTTACAATTTACAACTTTTTAATATTCATTCTTCTTTTCGAATTGCTATACGATTTTTATTATTTAAATTAAAATTTTTGCAAAATATACTAAACTTACTAATAATTTACGTGAAATACCTTTTTACAATAATATGTTTAAGATATTCAAATACATTAAATTCAGAAATATTTTAAAAATGAAGAATAAGAGGTCATATAAATTAATAAATGTGAGAAAAATTGGGTCTTATATAATAAAATTTACAAAATACTTGTATAGTTTTATGACGAACCTTTTATCCACTATAATATGTACATATTACACTATTCAATATCTTCTTCTAAAAGATGTCGATAAAATTACTGCCGAAATCAACTATTGTTTGAATATCCAAAACAAAGTAAAAGATAAAGATTTTCTGTATGTTTTATGTACATAAGCAGTATTTAAAATTCTATTATATGTAACATATTTTATTATAGTTCCGGTAATTGACTAACTGCCTCTGGCTGAAATACCAGCTTCAAATTGTGCTTATAAAATATTTCATCAAACTTAAAAGATAAACGAATAATATTATCATATTATTTTTGGAATAATGTTAAAGAAATGTTAAAGCGAAGAAGCACTTAAAAAATATAATTATTTGGCATCATCACCAAACATTGGTCACGTTATTGAAATTGATTTTAAGGAACTTTTTTAATACAAGTAAAATTTTGTATTTAATATTCAATTTGTTAAACAATTGAATAGGTGAAGTACTTGCTTAAGGTATCATTGACATAAGTAAATTTCTTATATATAAAAACCTCGTTTGAATTTGAGAATATCATATTACAAGTGAGCTATTGGTCCATCTACAATTTTAATTTTTATATACCTAAAGGTATTCAAAATTTTAATTTCAATTCTAGATTTTTATTGCTTTTGATACTTTCATTTTATTATTTTACAAAGCCTAATTCAATTGATGTCAATTTTAAAATAATTATTCATTAAGATATCTTTTGTTCCCATTGTATGTACGTTATATGAAGAAGATTTAAACTCAAGTACTCTTAAGAAAAAAAAATTATGTATAGCTACATTAAAATTATTGGATATCATTTTTATTATAAAGTGGTATTCATTCCATTAATTGAAATTTACATATATTATGTATGTATAAAATTCACGATTTCGATTTTATGTTAATTTTTAATATTAAATACACTTTCATTAAAAGAAACTAATTGTTATTAAATAGTAAATTTAGGTATAGACGGTGCATGTATGTTTGTAGAAGGAAAGAACCACTGTAAAAGCACTGTTTCAATGTTAAGACATAAAAATTTTGATATAATAAGATATGGGATTAAATTTGCGTTGAAAGCGATAAATTAAATTTGTGTTCTAGGAAAAGTATAGGGTTTTGCATTAAAAATTGATAAATTTTTTTCATTATGAATTTTATGGAGCGTATTAATTAAATTTTACAATTTGACATTGAAATTTTCATATTTTTCAAATTGATTTTCAATTCGCAAAATATTTTCGTTTACTAAATAAACCTTAATCATTAAATTTTAAATTAAATATAAAAATTTCTTGGCAAAAATATCACATACGATCGTATCAATTTAATAATAACGTTCACATCATTTTTCAATATTTCAATAAGATGCATACATTAAAAAATCTTTGATTTTCGCTATTGAAATATTCTGTCTTTGAAATAAAATGCAAATACAATTTAATGAAGGAATTTTGAAAAATCAACATTTCAATATTCAATTGATTTGACAGCGCATCTATAGGAAAATGAAAATGTACGAAAATTCCGTAAAAGCAATTTTCTTTCACATTTTTTTACGATAGGTATCTATTCAAATTCAATAAATATATTGAAGTTTTACTGGGAAATGAGTGCTTTGACCTAAAAAATTAATAAAGAGTATTTAAATTTCCTTATTTTTATTTTGTTTAGATTATCTTACTTGCAAAATTTATTTTCCAAATACGTCAAGTTTATTCAAATTTCTGTTTATTGTGATGTTTTACATACACATTTGTTAATGTTAAAAAATTGGCTTATAAGATTTTGTCTGGAAGGAATTATCCCGACTATCGCTTTCTATATAATGTATAGTCAAAATATACGCGAAAGATTTCAGTTCAAAATGCAAAATTTGAATGTATAATTAATTCTGAATCATTTTTAAGTTATTCTTTAAGTTGAAATATTTGTGTAATAATTTTATCTTCACAGTTCTATCTATAATACAATGTTGACAACTATATTAATGTACGTATACAAATATAAGTAGATTTGCATACGAAATTTTAAGAAAACAATTAATGATCAAATGTGGTTCAGTTAAAATTACTATAAAGTCTTATTTGAAATATGGATTGGTAACTTTCAGAACCGAATGGGTCAAAATTCATATCAGACTTCTTTTTAAGAAAAATGGCATTTTTTCTTGAAATCTGTTGAAAAGCATTCCTATAAGAGTTTTCATATCTTCAACATATAACAGTTTTTTGTCACTTCACTGTAGAGAACCATTCGTTTAAGCGAAACATATATGTATGTATGAATTAAAAAATTACTGGAAAAATTTTCGTTGTATATTGCAAAATATGAATTTAAACGTTTCTTCGCTTCTAGACAAAATTCCTTAAAAATTGTTTTGTAAATAAAATTATTCAAAAATCTTTATAAAAGTTTTTATCCAGAAAAATTGTTATCACGTAAATGTTGCAGCCATATTAAAATAAAACTCTTAAAAATTAGCTAATTTTGTAATTTTCATTTAATGTTAAAAAAATATTTCACGACAAAAATCATTATATTTTACATATTTGTTAATTTTGAATATTGGAAAATTATAATTTTTGTA